TGCATTTACTTCTGGTATTTCCTATCATATGTTCTGGCAGCTTTTATCACTTGTTCTAGGAATGTCGTTATGTTGTTAAGGCACCAGGCTAGAAAGCGGGAGACCGTGAATTCAAGTCCAGCCATGGCCATGAAAACGAGCTGGGTGACTTTGGGCCAATCACTCCCTCTGAGTCCAACTCGCCTCACAGGGTTGTTGTGGAGAAAATAGAAGGAGGAAGATGTGTTGGGTATGTCTGCCGCCTTGAGTTATTTGTAAAAATAAGAGAGGCGGGCTACAAGCAAACAAAAGGACGAATGTCCCAAAAGTGGTTTTTCAACAGGCAACTCGACTTCCTTGTTTTTTCTTCGAAGACGTTTCGCTTCTCATCTAAGAAGCTTCTTCAGCTCTGACTGGAGGGTGGGGAATGGAAGGATTTATATTCCATGGAGACAGCTGGTCATTCGTATCTTTTAAAGAGAGTTGTTGAGGCCACTTGGGGGTTTAACTGAGAATGTTGGAGAGAAGACTTGAAAAGCAGCTTTCTCTACAAAACAACCATTTTTGATCTGTTGAAGAAATTTCTGTTTTGCAAATTCCTAACCGGGAAGAGCCTTTTTCCTAGGTTGCGACTCCAGATTTAATTATTGAGGCTTCTTGATTTCATGCATAGGTATTCTTGCTTTTCAAGTGTTCCACCTGTAAAATTGTTCATTCAAGTTCTCAATAAAGATCTGTTAAAAAGGAAAATAGATACCTGGAAGTTGCCTATATCCATTATTTAGCATCTGGATAGTAGACCGAACCTGGTCGCAAAGGCCAGATTGGCACATTCTGTTGAGCGATGGTTTATTTAACCATTGTTTATGGAATGAATCACAATTGGCTGGATTTGTGCAGCATGCTAAACCATAAACCCTGTTTAAAACGGTTTGTGTAACACAGTAAACTAAAACAAACTACGTTTTGGCATAGCATGATTGTTAGCCTCACCCAGTCCTTTTCAGTGTGATGAAATGCATTATATTTCTCATTCAGTTATGACGTTTATTTTCTTCTGTACAACTATGTTAATATGTGTACTTTTTAAATAAATCTTGGCTTCTTTTGTCCTCCTTCACAAATGATGCAAAGTAGAGTTTTTGTTTTTTCAAAATACCACCTTATTATGTGCCTTGACCTTGAATCATTCTTGATTGTTCTGAAGCCCAACACAGGTTGGTTTTCATTTGATGTTGTTCCCAAAGTTCCCTTTTGCTCTTGATACCTAGAATTTCTGTTGCTGCTCATCACAGCTGCTTCCCACAGTGAAATCAAACTTCGAGCCTTTCTTCTTTGCCTAAACTTTGTTCTTTTTTTTCTTAGCAATCTGAGAAAAAAAGGGAAAAAAACATTGACAGGTGAATTATACAGCCAGAAACACCTTATTTATAAAGCTAATATGAAATATGTTTAAGAGCCTCCATTTCATTTCTCCCCTTCTCCGTTTTCCTTAGAGAAATATAAAATGTTAATATTACCTTTATATTGTAAAGCTCCATGCCAGTATCCATCTTCTGAGTTCTTTATAGTATCCTGCTAGCAAAAACTCTCTCTTGAATCATAAATAGAATTTGTTCATAAAGTAAAATAGTGCATTGTTTTCATTGTTAGAAGATGCTGCTAAATTGGCTGTATTTTGATAATCACATCCAAAGCAGATTATTCTGCTAATAGCCTTAAGATATTACTTTATTCTTTAAAATAAGTGTTTCACTATAATCCTAATACTACTATTTAAAAAAAAAATCCTTTCTTGTTTCTGCAAAGTCTGAATGAGATTTTCAAAATTGAATAATAATTTGATCCGTTAATCTTTTGAAGCTAGTAATTTTATTTTCCCCTCTTTGCGGTCTCCGAGGCTTGCAAATGAATAGAGCTTCATTACTGGAGCCTGCATTTATTAACCATTATCCATTATCTTGTAATTAAGACTCCTTGTAACGAATCATGAGGACAATGCAAAAATACATAGTACATTTCTTTAATGAACTGGAAAATGTTCATCTTGTTCTATTTAGTAATGAGTTGCTGAATAGTCGTTAAATCCACTGGAGAATACAGTGAGATGGATTTTGAAGACTATCTTGAGTTTGTGGTTAATCTATTAGAATTAAAATTTCATCTTCTATTTTTATCAACAGCCGATTAGAAGCCCGTCTGTTTGACCAAATTGATTATGAGACCCTATACAAGGGCAGATGTTGTTTAATGAAAGTTTTTAATGAAACCATACCATTGAGATTTCTAATTATCAGACTTATAAAAGCTTTGACTTACCTTGCTCCGATAGGAGGAAGTGGGAGATAGGGGTGGAAGACTTAAACAAAAGGGCTTAAACTCTGCGATATTTTTTTTTAAATGAGGGGAGGGAGAACATACAAGTTGATGCAAAGAAGTTTGCTTTTTGCTTTCTAAAGAGGGAACATTAAGAAAACCTCTGTGGGGCAGCCAGCATAGTGAAGATGCAAAGGATATATGTAATGTCAGATGAAGTCAAATGCATCCAGATCAGTGTTTTCCATGCTGCCTGGGGAATTCTGGGAGTTGAAAGGAATAGAATAAAATAAAATAGAATAGAATAGAATAGAATAGTTGGAAGGGACTTTGGAGGTCTTCTGGTCCAATCCCCTGCTTAGCCATTAAACCCTACACCACTTCAGACAAATGGTTATCCAACCTCTTCTAAAGATCTTCCAGTGTTGGAGCATTCACAACCTCTTGAGGCAAGTTGTTCCACTGATTGTTTTCATTGACAGGAAATTTCTCCTTAGTTTTAGGTTGCTTCTCTCCTGGATTAGTTTCCACCCATTGCTTCTTGTCCCGCCTTCAGGTGCTTTGGAGAATAGCTTGACACCCTCTTCTTTGGGGCAGCCCCTGAGATATTGGAGCACTGCTATCATGTCGCCCCTAGTCCTTCTTTTCATGAAACTAGACATACCCAGTTCCAGCAACCGTTCTTTATACGAAATCCACACATTTTCAAGTTGCCAAGTTTGTAAAACACCAGAGAAGCCGTGTTGCACTAGGCCCCATCTCTTGAAATGTTTTCTGGGCAATGATCTTGATGGTTTATTCTCAGTTCTATGCTATATTAATTGAGGGCTTCCCCTATGCTTAGGCTTAAATAGAGACAGAAATGTGGAAGGTACATGGCAGGTAGGGGTACTGAGTGCATTTATCATCTCTTCATGGAGGGAGATGGATCCAAAAGGTAAAGCAGAGTAGAAAGATAGGAGGAAGAGTAATATTTTATATAAATAAAAATCTCTGGCATAACCATGCAAAAGTTTAGGTCAGGGGTGTCCGACCTTGGCAACTTTAAGACTTGTGGACTTCAACTCCCAGAATTCCTCAGCCAGCAAAGCTGGCTGAGGAATTCTTGGAGTTGAAGTCCACAAGTCTTAAAGTTGTCAAGTTTGGACACCCCTGGTTTAGGTAGTCCTCAACTTACAACAGTTCATTTAGTGGCCATTCCAAGTTACAATGACACTGAAAAAAACGACTTACGACCATTTTTCACACTTGCGACTGTTGTGGCATCCCAATAGTTACATGATCAAAACTCAGACACTTGGCAACTGACTCGTATTTATGACGATTGCAATATCTTGGGGTCATGTGATCACCTTTTGCGACCTTCTGACAGGCAAAGTCAATGGGGAAGCCAGGTTCACTTAACAATCGTGTTACTAATTTAACTGCAGTTATTCACTTAACGACTGTGGCAAGAAAGGTCGTAAAACGGGGCAAAACTCACTTTACAAAGGTCTCGCCTAACAGCAGAAATGTTGGGCTCAATTGTTGTCATAAGTCGAGGACTACCTGTATTTCAGATCTCAGTGATATGAAAGGTCTTACTGGTTTGGAAAATATTGGGATAGAATCTAATCCGGTAATCTGCAACACTCTTAGGAAAGTTGTCAAGCTCATTTAGTTGTCAGAATGTTGGCTGAATACTTCGAAAAGTACAGTGGAACCTCAGGTCATCACCATAATCCATTCCAGGACTACGGTCGCAACCTGATTTGGTCATGACCGGAAGCACGACCGACTGCGCATGCGCGGACAAACATTTCCACAGACTACACGTGCGCGGAAGGGGAAATGGGCTCAGAAAGGGAATATGCCACGGCCGGGTTTGCTTGCCACCCGATGTCAGCTTTGGAAGCCATATTGAGATCCGATGCTCCCACGCTGCCACAATTGGGCCTGGGAAAGTGGGAGGGGGAAATTTCTTGGAGTATATCTAGTTAGACATAATAACATTCTTTTTCTGATTCAAGGTCAGGTCGTTTTACCCATAAGTGAGAGGAAGTCTTAACTTGGGACGGATGGTGATTGGTGATCATGTGATGTGATGATGGGTGCAGGGGATGGATTTGTAGTTTTTACTTATTGTAAGGAAGCCCAGAACTTTCAGATTCGGGATTCCACAGTTGTGCCAGTTACTATCCAAATAAAAGGAACCTTTGCGAAATGTCTGTCTCAGAGTTACCGGGTGGAATGGAGGTTTTGTTGAAACGCTGACACCCGATTTTTGAATTGTGACCCGATTCAAAAATGGGGTGGATTTTTTTGGTCAGAACACGATTTGGTTATGAACAGAAGTGTTTGCAACCTGAGGTTCCACTGTATAACAAAAGACATTGCACGATGACTAGAAAATCTCCCAGGTGCCTTTCAATCCTGCTATTCTGTTACTCATCACCCAGAGTTCCTTGTCTGAGACAGGTGGCTATAAAAAAATAAAAAAATAACTGCTGACTTTTGAAAAATAAATGAAAACTCAGAGCGGAGAAAGACTGTTGGCTGGGAATTCTGAACCGAAGCGATTTTCCATCACAACTTTTGCTTCAAACCCCATTATTTCCTGCCTTTGAAAAGAGAAGGGATCACTATTGACAATGAACCTTAAATCTAGGAGTTCTGATATTATATTTTGCTGACGAAAAGTTTTTCTCCTCCCTTCTCTTCCCAAGGGTCCGATTTTATCAAGACATCTACCGGAAAAGAAGCGGTGAATGCTACTTTCCCAGTGGGGCTGGTCATGGTGAGAGCTATTAGAGACTACTACTGGAAAACTGGCTATAAGGTAACTTGATAGCTCTTTTGTCAGGGTTCCAAGTAATAGACCTACAGCAAGCTTTCTCAATCATTCATTACTTCACAAAATAAAGCAATTGTGCCACTGAAAGTCAGCCATTTTCTGGTCAAGGTTTGGTAGCATTTCTTGGGGTGCTGGAAAGCTCCTTATTGGCCTCATGGCATAGAAGAGGAAGACTCCTTTTCTACATACGCGTAATGTCGCTTTCTCAAAGAGGCCGGACAAACAGTCCTTCCTTGTGAAACAAGAAAGAGACACAAGTAGTCTAGGTCTAGGACAGCAAAGCTGGCTGAGGAATTCTGGGAGTTGAAGTCCACAAGTCTTAAAATTGTCAAGGTTGGAGACCCCCAGTCTAGGAGGCTCTAGGTATTGACTGCCAACTTTCTGCTGGACTACGTGCCTCATGATGTTAACTTCTCATCCAGACGTACTTATGGATTATCTTCCTAGCCCCCAAATTACACAAATGTGATCGCTCCTGAACAAAATTGCTGTAGACGTTGTTTCCCACTAGCTACCTTTGAGCCAACTTTGCCTTCGTGATATCTCTGTGAGGACTCCACATAGTTCTCCAGATCTCAGCAACAGCGCATTTCAAGATAAAGCACCTGGGTCAATGACATAAATGATTCAATAGAACATTTTAAGCCTTTCTCTTCCTAGAATCTTTGGCTTCAAACTTGACTTGTTTCCAAGAAAAATAAAATAAACAAAAAAACCCTCACACCGTTGGGGAAACCACGCACAATAAACATGACAGTTTTGAAGGATTAATCACTCACAGAGACACATATTTCCTGATCAAAGAAGGGAAGCTAGACACACGGCCATTTTTCATTCATTTTGTTCATGCATTTTTCATCCAGAATCCATGGAGAAAGCTTTTACAATTTTGGCCTAGTTGGCTTTAAAAATCACTTAGATTGCCTATTTTGATATGTGAACAAATGACACCTGGGGGCCAAACTCAACGGTATCCATTATCAGCCACAATTATGTCCAAAGGCCTTGTGTGACATAAACGCCATCATATCGTGCACATAATTCCCCACTCCTCTGGAGACACCTGTGTTCATGTGGCCCTTGTCCTTTAGCCTTTGAGATGTGGCAGTGTGATGCAGTTACGAATTGCTTCATTCCTTGACTAGTAATCATTTGTTTTGTGACTGTTCGAAGGTACAATGATATTGAAAAAAGTAACTTCAGTGAAGCTTCAGAACTGAAGAAGCTTCATGGATGAGAAGCGAAACATCTTCAAGGAAAAACAAAAGAAAGTCCAGTTGCCTTTTGAAAAAGCCCCTTTGTAAGAGTTCTATTTCTCATTCACTTAAAGAGAATTTGTCGAGCAGAAATTTAAATTCTGTTAACCAAAAGAACCCAAGTGCACGTGCTCACTCTGAAAACAAGAATAATGGAAAATATGTGTAAACCGAGACTATATCCTTTTAGTAGACAAAGACCATTTTTTATCATTGATAGGAGATTTCTAAATGCTTTCTTTAACAAACCAATTTGGCTCCCACACAGATGCTTTTCTACGAAGGCAGTGGCTAGTAAAAACAGGTTAATGCAGAAATTAAACTTCTCCCAAGGATGGAAGTGGGCTGCAGACTAACATTTATTGAATGATAAGCTGTCGCGGCAACATAAAAAGTATTTGGCATAATAGGAAATAAATTTCTTTTTTTTTTCCTGTCAATACTGAAGGACACACACAAATTGGTTTTTCTGTTGAGGAATTCCTAGCCCAGAGAAACTTATTACTTCTAATAATACAAGGTGATGAGGAAAAAAAGTCTGAGAGATGAATTTATTAAACAAAATAATGAAATGCTATGAGACAGCATGGGAATAGTAGCCAAATTTTTATGGTTCTAGGACAAAAATGTTCCACTATGGATAATGGCTTGTTTGGGGGAAAGGAGAAATGGAATTATTTGTGGGAATGTGAATGCTTCAGATGGCGACAGTAATTGAGGTCAAGTTCCAAGGGCTTACAAGTTGAGTTGCTACTTACATATAATATAGGTGTAATGAAGTAGTATTACTAAGATCAGTTTACTGCACCACACAAACTAAATTTATGGAAACTACAGAAGCATCTTTCTATGCAGGATCAAATAAAAGAAGAAGGGCCAAGTTACATTCTACATTCTTCTATAGGGGAGAGCAAATACGGCAACTTTATGATCTGTGGACTTCAACTCCCAGAATTCCTGCTGGTTCAGGAATTCTGGGAGTTGAAGTCCACACATCATAATGTTGCCATATTTGCCCACCCTACCGAAGACAAACCATAGATGTGTTTGAATCATGTCCTTTCTTCCTTCTGTTGTTTTTTTTTAAAGCACTTTTTCATCTCTTTTTCTGACATGGAGGCTGCCATTTCTTACAGCCCAGTCAGTTGCACTCATGGATAAAGTTGGTAAGAAGTGGAAATGCAGAAATTCAGATCAAGGGTTGATGTTCATGAAGGTTATTTATTGTTTCCAAGATTAGAAGAAGCTTGGCTTCATTGTCTGGCAATGGGAACAAGAAAGCTTTGGCTTTTCGTGGAGCTTGCTCTTTTCAGTGCAATTGAAAAGGATGTTGGGAGTTGTAGTTCAGTTGGGACTCCTCTTCATGCTTACTAACGGCATGAAGACGCTCTAACACAGGGGTGTCAAACTCGCGGTGACATGTTCTCACGTGACGTATCTCAACTTTTTCCCCCTTCGCTAAAATGTGGGTGGTTGTGGCCAGCACATGATGCAGCCCCGTAAGTTTGACACGCCTACTCTTTAACAGTTGCTTTCAAGAAACATGTTATGTTATATCTGGCTCACCTATTCTGGAAGCCTAGAGGACAAGACCACCAAAGATAGTCTTTTACAATTGGAGCAGAAGGTCCCACCTTTGTTGAGTCAATTAAATATGTCTACCAAATCCAGAAGCTATTTTGCAGCCCAGAGCTTTTCTTTGGATTGATTTATTAGTAAGAGCAGGAAAGAAAAGTAGGGGTTTTTTTTTGCACTCGTGTCAGAAGCATCGAGGTCCTTCTGGGTTGAAAGGATTACCTGGCGACATCGCCATGGCCCTGGAGATGCTCCTTTCATCTCCCCGATAGGAGCTGGAGTGAAGGAGGGGAGCTCAACCCCGCCCCACAGCAGCTCCTGAGTCTCGAACTTGGGCTTGCTAACTAATCACCTGCCCAGTGTTCCAACCACTCGAGCCATTGCACTCCATAAGAAAAGTAGCAATGTCAAGATAGTAGTTTCCGTTCTCTCTCAGGGGAATTCTGAATTTGGGAAATTGGAGGATTCATAGGTGCAGAAGAGAAGGGAAACTTCCATCTCTCCATCTTCTGGCTGGTGGTGCCATATTCTTTCAATGCCTCCCTGTTGTCTGGAAAACTCCTCTACTTCGTATTCAAGAAGTTATTACTCTTAAGTGCCTTAGATCAGAATTCCCCCAACCGTTTCAGCTTTGCAGACCGTCGGGGGAGGGGGGGGAGAGGGAATGGTCCTGCGCGTGCTGCAGGCAAGCACACACCCATGTGGTCACCTGGGGAGGCGCACATGCGCACGCTTGCCCACTACTTCCATGGCCCGGTTCCGAAAGGATCGCGACCACTAGTGGGCCGTGCTCCAGGGGTTGGTGGCCCCCTGCCTTAAATGTCTACTAGGAACATTCACCTCTACCCCAGGTGCGAATGCCATGGGTGAGTTTTATTCACTCTCTCCTTCCCCTCGCTTTTTAATATATAGTTCATTCCAAATCTTTTAAATTTACTGCCGTTTTTATTGGTTGCATTTAAATATTTCTTCTCCATGAACTTGCTATGCCATTTTTCAAGGTTTTTAAATATTAGAAAGATATTTCTTCTTTAAAAGTAAACTCTCCGGTTTCTCCCAAATTGGATTTGAGGCTTTTAGTGCTCATATAACACATGCTATATCTCTCCTCAGATGTCTGGGGCTCCCTGGTTTTCAAGAGCTACTCTGTGCTTCCATTTATATTTTCAGCGATTTTCTTTTATTTAGTAGTGTGTTCCTTCTTGTCATTATACTGTATTTTATTACCCTATAAGCCACTTTGTGCATCTGCACTTTGGAGAGGGAAGGCAGGAAAGAAATCCTTCTGTAAATTAGATACACACACACACACACACACACACACTCACTCATATACATCAGAGATGTGATTCAACCAGTGTAACAACTGGCGCGCACGCAGCAGGTTTGCTACTAACCTTCTCCTGCAATCCTGCATTCTCCCTGTGTGTTAAACAGCTGACACTGCTGTGCTGTGCAAAGCAGCTGAACTTGAAAAACAGGAAATAAAAGTCAGAATAGAGCCAGGGCGAGCGGGAGGGCGTAGCAGCTGATCCTTGGAGAGAACCGATTCACTCACAGATGATCCTTGGAGCTACCAGTTTGACTAAACCGGACCGAATAAGTAGAATACCACCCCTGATATACATATATATACTGTATATACACACGTACCCTGTCTCGTTAGATGTATGCATTTATACGCAAATTCCAATTTGCTGTACACCTACAATGACTTATTTGGAGCCTAACACAATAGTTCTTTTTTTTAATAAAAAAAATATTATTATTCTTCCCTAAGGTTGGATTCAAGCCTGCAGGAGGCATTCGCAAAGCCAAAGAGGCCTTGATCTGGCTTTCCCTGATGAAGGAGGAATTGGGAGAGGAATGGCTGAAACCAGAACTCTTTCGCTTGGGTGCCAGCACTTTGCTGGGAGACATCGAAAGACAGGTTAGATGCAAAGCCCTGCCTTTCAGCAGGAAGGTTCAACTTCCTTCAAAAGGACGTTTAACCCTCAATCTGGGCTAACATAGCACAATCGTTGGCTTAATAGAATATATTTGCTGAAGAGTAATAAAGCAGTACCGAGCTAGAGAGAGTTTGAGTGGTCAAAGACAACAGTATAGCCTCTTGACTTCTAGGAAGGAGGCAATACTCGTAGTCCTTGATTTATGACCACAGTGGAGCCTGGAATTTTGGTTGTTAAGTCGTAAGGATTGTCTCGGATGCTACACATCCTCTTCAGAATCTGTTTTCGTTACCTTCTGGACAGTGATTAATCGTGTATGTGTGTGTTTGTTGTTGTTGTTGTTGCAAAGTTGTGTCCAACCCCTCGCAACCCCATGGACAACGTTCCTCCAGGCCTTCCTGTCCTCTACCATCCCCTGGAGTCCATTTAAGCTCACGCTGACTGCTTCAGTGACTCCATCCAGCCACCTCATTCTCTGCCATCTCCTCCTTCAATCATTCCCAGCATTAGGCTCTTCTCCAGTGAGTCCTTCCTTCTCATTAGGTGGCCGTGTGTGTGTGTGTGTGACATGTGTATATGTGTGCTATGTCTGTGTTTGGGTAATTAAATACTTTCTTTTGAGAGCAGGCAACAGAATTTAATTTTAATGTGGACCAGTGTGCTCACAGTAAAAGGAAAATGACAATAAAGGTTTATCTTATCTATAAGTCGAGGCACCAAGTTACTAGATTCAATTTTACAATCGTTTTCCATGAAGGTTATAAAGTGAATCATGAAGTCATTAAGTATGGACATTTTTTTCTGGAAACCAGCAAAATTGGCAGGATCATGTGATCGCGGGGGAGGGGGTGCTACAACCAGTCATAATTGCGAGCCAGTTGCCAAATGCAACCATGTGGTCACTGGTGTGTATGTGTGGCGGGGGGACAGTCCTAATTTCAAGGATGGGTCGTAAGTAACTTTTTCAAAAGTCCATCATAACTCAGTGTCTATGGAGATTCTCAGTCATCCAGGTCATGGTTGTCCCCAAAGTGCCTTTTTTCAAGAGGCAACTGGACTTTCTTTGTTTTTCTTTGAAGAACGTTTCGCTTCTCATCCAAAAAGCTTCTTCAGCTCTGACTGGATGGTGGGGAATGGATAGATTTATATTCCTTCCATTTGCACTACTCAGGTGGCCCTGAGGACACAAATAAACCTCCAAGTGGCCTCAATGACACTCTAAAAAAATGCAAATGACAAGCTGTCTACAAGGGGTATAAATCTTTCAATTCCCCATTATCCTGTCAGAACTGAAGAAACTTCTTGGATGAGAAGCAAAACGTCTTCAAAGAAAAACAAAGTCCAGTTGCCTCTTGAAAAAAGCTCGTAACTGAACAGTCATTGTTAAATGACTGGTCATAAGTCAAGGATTTCTTCAATGGAAATCCCAACAGTTGCTCCTCTTCCCACCCTAAAATCTCCCCTAACTGTGGAACTTTGGGGCTTCAAGTAAGTTTTCAAGTGTAGGGAAGCCATTTAAGAAGTGGAACGAAACTCCACCAATGAAATTGAGTCATTTGCTGCCAAACTTTGAAGGAGAAGTTGTATGGATGGCCATACAAATGATTTGATCAGGAATGTGACTCTGCTATAAGGATGCTTTAGCTCTTGTGGCGAGATGAATGGCAAACAAATTAAATAAATAAAATGACAATTTTAAGATGTGTGGACTTCAACCGACTGGGAAATTCTGGGGGTCCCCACATCTTAAAATTGCCAAGGTTGAAAAAGAACTGGTTTAGTCAAAACAGAAATCTTGGAGATTTTGCTGAAAATGGGAGAAAAAGCTGGACTTGACTGGCTTTCAGTGCAAGAAATGCCACTTAGATAAGGTTCAAAATCAAGTGGCAAGCTTTGCTTTTCTCCCAGCCAGATTAGTGTACACATTAAGTCGTTGGTATGGCATCAGGGAAACCCAACATTAAAATCTCAGTCAAAGGTATTGCCAACCAACACAACTGATGAGCACAAGAGAGCTTGTGAATCAGTACATCTTCAGAACTTCCGGTTGAGGTAGGCTAGTCTAACTTTAGGGGGCACAGTGGCTCAGCGGTTAAACGTTAAAACTTGTCAGTTGGAAAGATGACCACCCGAGTTTGAGACCTGAGAACTGCATGATGGGGTGAGTTCCCATTACTTCAGGGGTGGGCAACTATGGCCCTTTTATGAATTATGGACTTCAACTCCCAGAATTCCTGAGCAAGCCATGCTAGCTCAGGAATTTTGGGAGTTGAAGTCCACAAGTCATAAAGGGGCCATAGTTGCCCACCTCTGCATTACTTGCTCCAGCTCCTGTCCATGTAGCAGTTCAAAAGCATGACAATGCAAGTAGATAAATAGGTACCATTTCAGTGGGAAAGTAACAGCGTTCAGTGTGCCTGTTGTATAGTCATGCTGGCCACAGGACCATGGAAGCGTCTTTAGACAACGTTGACTCCCTCAGTTAAGAAACAGAGGTGAGAACTGCCCTCTAGAGTCAGATACGACTGGGCAGAGGAAAATTGTACCTTTTACCTTTATCTTTAGTCTAACTGTACATGATTGTTGTGAATAGGAGTGAGTCTTGTATATCCCATTTTCCATGGAGATAGAAAGAAAATTGCCAGACAAATGTAAGATGGAGCACATCAGGTGAAACAAATGGTATCGGCCCATATTTCCTTTAAAAAGAAGAATGGCTTTAGATAAGGCATGCTCTTAATCAGGGTGAATAATTAAGTGTCTATCCGCTGGGTCCATCTTTGCATTAACCTACCCATAATTTGCCAGTTTTATTATCCCAGTTTAATTTCTGCTTTTTTGTTTCCATTGCACAGATTTATTATCACGTGACTGGCAGATACCCAGCTTCCTATGACCTGCCCATGGCTTAGATCAGTGACGGATTTATGCTGTGAAAGAGAGAAAGAATTAAACCAACAATGTCCTGGATTATTTCCATCAGCCTTCCCTGAAACCACCTCCTTACTAAGTGCTTTACAAAACGGATTAAAACTGTGGTGCCTCCATTTCACAGTTTCAGCGTTCTTAGCAAAGCCCAAGGCCCAGGTGAACCAATGGAGAAAATCTGTGAATGTTGAAAATTTCTAGTATTAATTTTTTTGGTAACTGCACACATTGACTTCCACCTGAATTTCAAGAAACAACCCGGAAATGATTATTTTAGGGTGAATTTTGTACTTGAAATTAAGCATTTGTGAATTGTTATATATATATATATAAATAAAGTATACCAAAATCTGATGATGAGCAGTATTGGAATAGAACATCATAAAAGCACCTCAGTGGTGCAGAGTTTCAAAATAATGCTATTTAGGCTATATTAGAAAGTATATGAATCCAAACTGGTGTGTGTTATGAGGGGAAGGTATAATTGTGCCCCAACCTTGCAGTCCTGACTAGGAGTGTGGTCAATCAATCACACCTTCTTTACGTTAAGAAATAACAGTGGAATTATTTGAAATCTCTTCTTTCTTTCCCTGAAAAGGTTCTACAGAGAACTGAATGAGTGATCACCACAAAGCCTTGTAGTTCTTATAAAGATCCAAATTTACTCCCTTTCTTTTGAAGTAGTAATTCTTACAATTGCTGATAGGGTGATGATGTCTGTGCTAATTTGGCCCAGAAAATATCTGACCCTTTTTCAATACTGTCACGTCCTGCTAGTTATATGTATGAGAGAATAGAATAGAATAGAATAGAATAGAATAGAATAGAATAGAATAGAATAGAATAGAATAGAATAGAATTCTTTATTGGCCAAGTGTGATTTGACACACAAGGAATTTGTCTTGGTGTAAATGCTCTCAGTATACATAAAGAAGAGATACATTCATTAAGAACCAAGAATCATAACGTACAACACTTAATGATAGCCATAGGGTACAATCAACAATCAAATCATACTAGGAAACAGTCAATATAAATTGTAAGGATACAAGCAACAAAGTTACAGTCCTACTGTATTCACATAACAGGCTACCAGAATCTCAGATAACTTTGGCTAGATTGAGTGGTGTTGGGAACATAGCAATCGCAATAAGCACTTAGACTTATATACTGCTTCACAGTGCTTTTACAGCCCTCTCTAAGCAGTTTTACACAGTCAGCATGTTGCCCCCAACAATCTGGGTCCTCAGTTTACCGACCTCGGAAAGATGGTTGAGTTAACTTGGAGCCAGTGAGAATTGAACTGCTGAACAGCAGCCAGCAGAAGTAGCCTGCAGTACCGCCTTCTAACCACTGCGCCACCATGCCACCATGGCTTTCAACATCTCTTGAAAGGTCAATAGTTAACCCATTTGGATTAAAATTCCTGTCAATATCATGCATTTGAATTTATCCAAATCAAACTATATGAAGGGTTGTCTTTTCCTGGTCACATCTACCCAACCGGTCAGAGCAAAAATGCCCATTCACTGCTACCACGGCCTGTTTGCCGCACCTGCAACCTGTTTGCCGTGGCCTGTTTGCCACCACAGCCCATTCACTGCTACCCATTCACTGCCACTGCTGCCCGTTTTATAGCAGCTGAAATGGTGCCGCACCAACCCCCCCGCACCGCAATATTCGCTGTATAAGATGCACAGACGTTTCCACCCACTTATTTGAGGTGGGAGTGCGTCTTATACTTTGAAAAATACAGTAACTACAGTCAGACAAAGGAATCTTTGCCTGCATGAAAACTTCAACATGAAATAGCTTTCCTGTTGTTTTACTTTTTTTTTGAGGCATGCTCCCTACATAGAAGACGAGAGCTTCGTAGATATTTGATACACAATAGAATTTTAAAGAGTCCTGAAATTTAAACCAAGCAATTTTGCACGGATGAATAGGAAACAGGATGGCTTGGATCAGGCACATTATAGTCCAGAAAGTTTGATAATGAACATTGCCAAAGCTGAAGAGGAGTTTTGCATTAGAAACACGCACACACACACACACACACATTTCAAGTTGAACTGCCCCCTTTCACGGCAAACAGCTGTTTTTGAGTGTGAAAAAAATGCTCAAAACAGCTTGTTTTGCTTTGCGAGCAGCTGTTGCACATTGAAAATGGGGCATTTCACACTTCCAATTGGAATGTTTTGAATTACACATGATTGAGTTGGGACTATTTTATAGATCCTGACTTTTCAAATTTTTTTTTCACTTCTTTGGGGCTGAAGGGGTGTGTGTGTGAAACCTGAGTGGAACTACAAGCAAACAGCTTGGATCTGGACCTCTGAAAAGGGAAAGGGCTCCTTTGTGAATTTTTGTTACAGCCCTGACGTTGCAAAATCAATTGCTTGGCATTTTAAGAACATACGTTTAAATAGAAGAATAATCTGTGCAAGGGTTGTTCTCCTATTTCACTTGAGATTAATTACTGCCTGCACGCGACACAACTAAAAATAATATTTGAATCATTACCTTTCTAAAGATCAGGCTACCAGGAGTTTCACGCCTTATTTTGTCATGCTGTCTGCTAAGAAAAAAAAATTTTTTTTCTAGAAGGCCACCATCACATAAAACAAGTAATTCCTAGGAAAACAAAGGAACATTTCTTATTAGATTCATAACATAAAATATTGGTGTGGTTTTGTTTTAGAAAAGAAGGATGTATGCTGTCAAGACAATCCCCTAAATGTTAGACGCATGGAGTAGGGCAGATATTGTTCAGGCATTATGGAAAAGCACCGAATGTTTTCAGAATAACTCTCTTGTTTCTGTTCTGACCTAGGCTTCACAAAATCACTAAGCAGACTCCTTGTCCCAACAAATCCCCTTTTTATTTAGGGTAATATGAATTTCTATCATTTACATCCAGCAACGTCCTGGCAAAAAGTCTTTCAAGGGTGAATTACAACCACAGACCTTATCAGGCTTGGAGAGTTGCCAGGCCGATAGCTTCCAAGCGCAACGCTCTACAAGGAAATATATGGCAAGGAGTCTCTGAGAGTCATGAACAAACTAATTATCTAATTATCTCCTGCAAACACCACTCCCCTTTCACTCTTTATTCCCTATGGGAGGGGCCATTCACTATCCACCTGTGCCTTTACTCCCCAGTTGACCCTTGTCCTTAACTGTTCCCTTCTCCTGGCAGCTCTGTGCATGCGCACACTGGGAACAGGCCCCAGCTGTTCTTCTGCCCCACTGAGGTCTGACTCCGAAGGCAGCTGATAACTGTCAGACGGCCCAGGTCCCATCTCTGCCTCTGATGCAGAGCATTCATCAGAGCCTTCCTCATCTTCCTCCCCAACCTCCTCACTGTCTGAATCTGCTGCCAGCTCCACTGGCCACTGGTGGGCCACAACAGTGTCATCTGAATGTGGCTTGTTACTGGAAATAAGTTTGAGATTGAATTGTAAGGTGTTTTTTTTAAAACTAAACAAAAAAATCATTCCCAAAGTACAAGTAGTCCTTGATTTACAACAATTTGTTCAGTGACTGAAATTATGCCACGAATGTGTGACTTATAACCATTTTTCACACTTATGACTACTGCAACATCCCCATGGTCATGCGATCAAACTTTAGATGCTTGGCAATTGATTCACATTTATGACGGTTGCAGTGTCCAGGGGTCATGTGATCCCCTTTTGCGACCTGACAAACAAAGTCAATGGGGAAGCCAGATTCACTTAACAACCGTGTTCCTAATTTATCAGCTTTTAACAGATAACAGATAATCAGAGTTGGAAGGGACCTTGTAGGTCATCTAGTGTCCAAGCCCCCACCCAAGTGGGAGACCCTACACCATTTCTGACAAATGGCAGTCCAATCTCTTCTTGAAAGTCTCAAGTGATGGTGCTCCCACAATTTCCGGGGGCAACTTCTGTTCCATTGATTGATTATTCTCACCATCAGAAAATTTCTCCTTATTTCTAGGTTGAATCTCTCCTTGTTCAGTTTCCATCCATTGTTCCTTATCTGGCCTTCAGGTGCCTTGGAAAATAGCTTGACCCCTTCCTGTCTGTGGCAGCTCCTCAAATATTGGAACACTTTTATCCTGTCTCCCCTGGTCCTTCTCTTCACTAGACTAGCCAAGCCCAGTTCCTGTAACCGTTCTTCATATGCCTTAGTCTCCAGTCCCCTAATCATCCTGGTTGCTCTTCTCTGTACTTTTTCTAGTCTCTCAACATCTTTTTTATAGTGTGGTGACCAAAACTGGGTGCAGTACTTTAGGTGTGGTCTTACTAAGGCTTACTAATACCACTAGAGTGGTATTAGTACCTCACTTGATCTTGATTGTATCCCTTGTTAATGCAATTTAGGATTGCATTAGCTTTTTTGGCTGCCACTGCACAATGCTGGCTCATATTTAGCTGGTTGTCCACTAAGACTCCAAGATCCCTCTCACAGTTACTGCTATTGAGCCTGGTTTCACCAAGTCTATATGTGTACTTTTGGTTTTTCTTGCCTAAGTGTAGGACTTTACTTTTCTCTACATTGAATTTCATTTTGTTAGATATGGCCCAGTGTTCTAGTCTGTCAAGATCCATCTGGATCTTCAGCCTATCTTCTTGGGTGTTAGCTATTCCTGCCAGCTTAGTATCATCTGCCAATTTGGTAAGTTCCCCTTCTGTTCCTTCATCTAAGCTGATAATGAAGATATTGAAGAGTACTGGGCCTAAGACGGAACCTTGTGGCACCCCACTGCTTACTTCCCTCCATGTAGACTTAGACCCATTAAGGACTACTCATTGAGTACGGTTTGTCAGCCAGTTGCAAGTCCATCTAGTGGTGGTGCTATCTATTCCACTTTTTTCTAGCTTGCTAAGAAGTAGGTTGACTGCCTTGCTTAGTATAGTTCAACTGGATTCTTGGTGACATCAATGACGGGTCTATGAGGTTTTCTTGGCAATTATTATGGATGGATTTTTATTGCTTTCTTCCAGAACATTTTTTCTGTTTTCCCTGATACTTCTGGGTAGACTCTTATCCCAATAACTAATGAGGTCCGACCTCACTTAGCTTGTTGAATCCAGACAAGATTGGTTAACTGCTTCTTCCTGCCAGAGCCATCCTTAATATTAATTGTGAGCCGTTGTCAGTGTCAACTCTTACTGACCACACATAGATAGATTATTTCCAGGAAGCTTAATATAACATAGATGAGATTCACTTCTTATTAGATGAAATCATTGTTAGATCTTTATGGCTTTTGGAAAGTGTTTTCGATCTGGGTATAAGACCTATTCATTAAAATTGCTTGGCTTTTTTTAGACTTTGGCGTGGGGGGGAAATGTGCATTAAGAGCTTTTCTTCAG